CTTACCTAATTCTTTATCACATCACATTACATTTCTAAATTTTATCTGATGCATGTAAAAGAAAATCCTTTTTACCACTTAGCATGTTGTACAAAGGCAATTCTCTCAGTTTAATCCCTTCTATTATACTGACAAGCTTGGCTAATCAAGAAATAGTAAGGTACACAGTTTTACACTTTACATGGACAGTTGTCCTTTCTCAGCAATTAATTGCATGGTTGAAGACAGTATTATCCCCTCATTCCAAACACTATAAACTGGAAATATTTGAGTTGGATGAAGTATTTTGGCCTCATTTAGCAAGCAGTTTTTCCAATCCTGAAGCCTCTTAAGACAAAACAGAGATGTTTAGAAATTCATTGCCATTTAACTGAATTGGGTCACAATTCTCACGTTGTTTCCAAGGGATAACACCAAAATATTGTCACTGGGTGAACTAAGAGCACGCTTCTGTGTGTCTGTCTCCACACACCTGTGTGATTTTTAGTAACTCCCTGAAATCCTATCCCAGGAACATGTAGTTGGTTTTAAGTTTTTTTTTTGTTTGTTTGTTTGTTTTTTTTGTTTGTTTGGTTTTTTTTTAAAGTTTTATAAGTTGTTTTATTAAGTCTAAGGCTAAAAATTTTAATTTGAAGAAAGAATATTATAGAACGAGAAAGCTCTAGTGATTTTTATATTTTTAAGTAATGGGCACCTAGTTGCTTATATTTCTTCTAAGCACTTATAACTGTCTAAATGTTAGCAAAAGCTGCCCATTTAAAAACTTCTCATGCACTTCTACAGAAGTCCCATTTGATCATGCAACAAAGCCATAAGAAGAGGTGTACAATATCACAGTTCTTCACTTGGCAAACAATTATGTTAGTGAAGAGAGAACTGTACCCTTACTCCGTAAGTTACCAGAAGCTGTACAGAAGACCTTATTCTTATATAAATCATCAAGAAATTACCAAATAAAAGGAGAAAAAGGAACAAACCACACTATAATCTGTTTAAAGTATTTTTTATTGTTTGACCTCCCTTTTGTTTAAAGTCCTCCAGAAATATCTAACTCTTTTTAATTCACAAAATTAAAATTATCAGAAGTACTAATTTTCTATAAACTGCATGTGTGTCATATGAGTTTGGAAATACATTATGACTTTGGTTAAAGATGATAAAATGCTGGCAGTTAGTGTTATTATAGGAAGGAAATGAAGAAAAAAAATTAATTGTTGAGTGGCTACTGTATCTGATGAAATTTAAATTGAGATTTTTTCTTTCCATTCCATGTCAAATTTGTAATTGATTAAAATATTCTGTGCTACTTAAAAAGGGCATATATTAAATATCCAACTTCATAAAAAGCCCTGAAAATCCTTCTCCCCAAATATTTCCAGCTTGACAGTAGCAGGCAAAAAGCATTAAGAAATGTAAACATACAAGAAAATAGCAAATCCCACCTGATGATCCACATATATGGCATTCCTTTGAAGGTGATGTGAAAGAATCTCATTCTATCAGGCAGCAGTCAGAGGGGAATAAGGAAAGGGACAGAAGGTGCAGAATGCATGAAAAGAGCTTATAAAGATGTAAACTAGACAGTAATCTTTCTGGTTTATGTAGAAACATAATGCTGCTTTTATCTGCTATTTTTTGTTGAACTGTTAACAAGTTTTGATCCCGAAACAGAAGTGATGAAAGTTTCCCACGAATCAGATCATGAACCACTACACTACATTTTGGGTTTACATATAAAATACAGTAAGCTCATGTAAAGGTCTACTACACAGACAACTATAAACCCTTTGATATATCTGTGTTTTAAACATTTGTAAGTAGATTACAAATAAGACTGTATCTGATAAATTTTACTATAGAAATAAGAAATTAATCTCATGATCTACCACTAGTAATTTTGATTCTAACAACAATAGGTTAAAAACCTTTAACTTTAAACTTAACAACAACGTATTTTAAAATATTCCAATGTAATTTTAGCTTGGCTGATTTCAAAAAGCTATGAGAAAAGCCTCAAAGGGTTAATAGCAGAACAGCACATACACACAGAACCAATATTACTCCATTCTACTCCCATAGTAGTCAGAAAATTTTGCACTAATGGTACAAAGCAAACTGATTAATGAATGACTACAAGTTAGTGAGAACGGTACATGACACACATTGCTTTATAGCTGACCTTTGGGCTGCTGGCCTCAAGTTTTAGTTGCATGAGCTGTGCTAGTGTGTGTTCCCGGATACTACTCAGTTCCGCTTGCTGCCGTCTCAGCTTTATGAGCAGCAGCGTGAGCTCCTCTGGCTGAAGCAGTGCAGTGTGAGAAGCCAAAGAGTAGAAAAAAGGTTAATTGGTATCCCAGACAACACTTAATTAAAATAAGGGTTCTTAGTATCTTTCTTACAAAAACCTTCTATAGTGATACAGCAAAAGATACGCTATTTTCCCCCAAACTGACCACTTTCAACTATACAACGAAGGGTTAACTTTTACCTATTTAAAACAATTGATACTGCAAATGCTACAAAAGTGGAGTATTCTGTAGAAAAGGACAAATACAAGTGAAGGATTTTGCAGGAGAAAGTCTGTGCAGCCCCAAACTTTTTCTGACATGCAAATCGATGATACTGACTTAAGTGAAGGAGGAGATAATTCCAGCCCTTAGGATATCATTACCTGGACACAGACAGTCATTTGAGCTTTGTGAAAGAATTAAAAATTAGGAAAATTTAGTTTCTAAAAGAATTCTTCAAATATCTGTGTCAAAGTTCAGAGTAAAAATAATTAAAAAACCCCACACAATAACTGAAATACATCAGAAAAAATCACCTTTCATGAAATAAAACTGCACAAGCATGACAAAAGTAAATTTCCATCCCACCTTCCACCAGTCTGTGGCTACCAGTTGATTTATTGTTTTATTTTTATGACCATGATGCACAATACAGCCTTAGGAAGGGATGAAGAATAGTATTTGAAACCCAAGATTATATAAATAATGGAAATAAAGTCACACTCAAATGGTTATTTATCAGATAATTCCACACAGACCAGTTTAGGTCAGTTTGGGAAACTACCTGAACTACTTCTGGGAACCACTTTATTAGCAATACTTTAAAGAAAACAAAGCACTTAATATCACAAGTATTTTTCTTATGTTCCTTTTTGCTTCTGTTTCTTACACTTTTCCAGAAGTCAGTCTTATAAGAGGTTAAATATTCATCCAGCATTTTGATTTTCTCACAAGTTCTGTGAGTTAAAAAAAAAAACACTAACACAAAAAAAGAAACCCAAACCCTGCTTGCTCTCTCCTACAGTCAAAGAATTTCTCCAAATCAAAGCAGTTAACAAAAAAGCTCTAGAGAACCACATATTAAATTACTGAAAAACAGAATACCAGTTTGTTAGAATAAAGAAAAATCCCTGAGAATAAGCATGGCACTGGCACCTTTTTGAGCTTGTACTAAAGCAGCCCACAAGAGGGAGCAAGGGATTTCCACACAGCTCCAGTTGTCAAAAATCATTGGCTTTGAGGGAAAACCAACATCAAAGCCAGGCTGTCTAATGGCCAGTCTTCCTCTGACAGTACTCATTCAATACCTGGATTTAACATGCTTAATTTTGGAGCCTAAGTGTAAGAATCTAGACTGCTACACGAGACATTTTCAAGTTCTGTCCAAAAACTACTGATAATGCTTTCAGTCTGAAAATAAGCATAATTTCAAAGCACAAGAAAACTTATTTTTAGAAATAAGATAATTGAAAGTAGCATCTTCAAGCAAAAGGATGTATCACTTTTTCAAGATCAAAACTCTTCTCAGTATTTTCTGCAAAAGCCTGATTTTTGTGCATAGTTAAATCCGACGTTTCCAAGCAAACTTATTTTCCCCATAGAGGAGCCCATCAAACAGTAATTCCTGTTCCTCTCTAGACATTCATAATGTTGCAAACATTTCTGACATTGCTGTAAGTGCTGTACTTTCGGCACAGCTCTTGGGACTCTTCCAACAACCACAACACAAAATTCTGTTTTCTATTCCAAGATCTACCTATGGATTTCCTCCTCTAGGCCCTGAAATGTTTGTGTTGTGGGCAGGACTTCTGGTTTCTACAGGTGGAAGTTTGAATCTCCTTGCCCCCCACCCGGCTCACCATCCCAGCTCCAGCAGCAGAGCCTAGAAGAGGTGATGGGGCTGTGAACCCAAAGGAACATCTGCAGAAGACAAGGTGCAGAGATAAAGCACCAGCTGCCAAAGGCCCACCCCTAAGTTGCTGAAGGTGCCAGGGATTCATGCTGGGAAGTGCAAGAAACAGGGGTCAAGGTGGTGGAAGGATGAACTGGGGAGCTGTTGCCCACAGTATGATTCAGAATCTATATTCTTAGTTCTGAACTCTCTCCAAAAGTCATTTCAGATGAACAAACAAAGACTACAGAAAGGAGATAAAAAATAGTAATGAAATTATATAAATTTAGGACAATCTCTTTGCTTTTGGCTAAAAGTCACATTTTAGTTAGGAAGGTGGACAGTATTCAGCAATATTCCTTTCCTGAAATGCCTTTGATGAGAATTTCAGCTCTCCCACAGTGAAGTGGGAGAGGTCAGAAAGGACACAATTTTATCAAAAAAAATTTTACTATCATTAAGATTTCCAAAAAAGAGAAAACTTTACTTCTAGGATTTTCTAAATAATTAATGGAGAAATAAGTGTTCTGTGATGTATTCTACACTCTCCCAGGAATTTCTGTAATGTAGACAAGATCTTTAACAAAAAAAAGTATCTCTATTTCTGAAAGAAAATCTGGACTCAGTGGCTGTGCAATATTCTCAGAATTCAATGGAACCACAGAGGAGTATTATATTTGCTTTAAAAGCCCCTGATAATTAAAATAAAATTTACATTTAATGTAAGCTTTGAATAGAATAAAATTTCAGTGTTGCCTCTTCATACCTAGCGGATTATTCTTAGAAAAAACCCTGATGTACCAAATAAAAATGCAACTCACTGTTTTGCCTTGGAGGCTCTGAGGAGTAACAGGCTGTAAACTCAGACCTGCTGGCATTGACCTTCTGTCGGGCACAAAGACATGCTGTACAAAAACAAAATAGCACGGTATAATCCATAGTTATCTGAAGATTCAGGAACTATTCACTGATGAAAAAGTCAAGCCAACTTTGTGGTCACGACAAATTTGCTATGATTTGTGCCAGCTTTGTGGCCAGTCATGCTCCCTGCTGGTCTCCTAAGACACTCAAGTGGCCTACACCTCAATTTTAGAACCTCCCCCCCAGCAGCTTTCATCATTAATTTTAATTAACAGTCCTCCCTCATAGTTGTTGCCCTACTGATAGGCCACGCAAACAGCAATTTTAGTTTTTCACTCTTCATTGAAAGATATTTAAAGAACTAATATTTCTATATAGACGAGGTTTAAATCTTAAATTTACCCTACTGATTTCAAATAGTCAGTTTCCCAAATAGCCACCTCTTAAAGGTCTGTGTTTTTAAATTAATGGCAAAAGCTAGTTGTGTAACTAAAAAAATACAAGCCAAATAGCAAGAAAAAACAAAGGGAAACAGAAGTCTTGTATAAAAGACACCACACATGAAATGAAATACCAGCAAAAAGTGTTTCACAAGGAAAAAATTATAACAGGAAGTAAAACATGGCTGAAAGGACAGGTAAGCACAGGCTCTCAGTACTGACCCAAGTGCTCTTTCTCAGATGTGTGAGTAGTATTGACTGCTAAATTTCTATTGCTGCTGAGATAAAGAATGTCAAAACAAAATTACTGCTTCGTTGATAAGGACTTAAAAACTTCCCAAACCGAGACTTAATAATCAACTCTAAGTTGATTAAACTGCTTTAAGATGTAGTTACAGATTTTTGTCCTGCATCAAGAACCATAAACACAGCTGAGATAAAGGTTTAGGAAACGCTTTCAGGAGTATTTTACGCAAACTCTAGTTTTTCAACCAATTGAAGGAGTCATTTTTTGGTAATTATCTCTAATCTATTAAAAAACATGCACAGCACAAGCATGATGGATCTTGCAGAGCCACATACAGCACCCGGGTTTCCAGTTCTTTGTGTGTGTCTCCCTCTGATGAAGAACAGCAGTTACACTAGTCAAGTGCCAAACTTGTATGCAAATAGACTCTGATCTTTAGTGATCTCCCTGATAACTCAAAGGCATCAAAACAAATGACTACGCTCAGTTTTCTGCTGAAACCCAAGGCAGTCAAACTAGTGGCTGAAGAATCAAAAACAGTACGTGGGAAGAAATCTGAGATTTTCAGTCCTCCTTAGAGCTCCAGCCAAAAGAGTTAGAAGAAAGATTTCTGTTACATGCAACAAACTTTTCAGAATAATTTACCTATTGACTCCTTATATTTCCTTTAGAGAAACAGATAATGGTCAGTAGTACTAGGACATGTTTTTACATTAGGATTAGAAAAATCCCTTTTCACAACTTTTAGATTTTTAAATGCTTTTTAAAAACAAACCTTTCTCTGTGAAAACGGCGACGAAGTTTTATCTTCATTATAATAAAATATACTACAATACAACGCGAGTTTTACAGTAACCATATGCTTTGTACTAAAAATCCTTATAAATGAGATTTTTTAAATACTAAAATAAGTATTTTTACCTTAGTGTGATGTGTTCTGTGCCTGCGATCAATAGTGACATCTCCCCTTTGCACTGGTGAGGACACTTCTGACCTGTAGGTCCGCTGTGGGGAATACCCTTGGAAACCAGCAATCGAGCCTTGAGAAGGCGAGGTGGGAATCGAATGCATTGTCTGATCAGAAATGTTCATCATCGTTTTGGGGCTGCTTATAGTACTGTGTCTGGTGAGCGTCGTCTGCTTGTTGTAGAACTGCCGCTGCTGCCACTCGTAGAGCTGCCACATGGTGTCGTCGCGCATGGAGCGCCGCTTCTCCTCGGCCCGCTCGTAGGCCGCGGGCGCCGCGCCGCACAGGCTCTCGGGCCGCGCCTTGCTGTTCCTGGGCAGCGTCCGGTAGCCTTCCGGGTAGCGGGGCAGCACCTGGGGCCGGTGGCTCGGCATGTTCCTTGGCAAGGTCTGATACGAGAGTATGCTGGAACACAATTTTTCTTCCTATTAGTGGACAGTGCTAATGTAAAGCCAATATAAAGCTTTTTAATATTGGTTAGGTTTATCGAGCCAAGTCTTTATTTTTCCTTTTAATACTACAAGCATCATTTTAAAAACATGCAAAAAAATCAAGATAACAATTAAGAATCAGCTATTGACTCAATGCACTGTAGCAGCTGGAACAGGATCCCTTCTCTGATTAGCTGATTATATAGTCCATATTTAATCTTTTTACCAGTTTAACAGTTTAGTAGTCTCAATTTTAGATCAAAACTTGTAACTTGTCTATAATCTTTTAAGTTCAACACTGTTTCCTTACAGGCCCCTTTTAAATGTTCTCTTTTTCAAAAGTGAAAAAAAAAATCTGTTGTTTCCCTAAGAAAATCTTGAGCAATTATTACGGACTTAAAAGAAAATAATTATTTCTTAACAGCAGACAAAGGAAAAATAACTGTAATTGTCTAAAGAAAAAATATTTTGTAATTGTCAAGAACAAGCCATTCCGTATCAGCTATTCAAGTAAAACAAACAGCAAGTATTTCTTTGATAATAATATTGTATTGCTTTTCAACTTGCACATCAATTTGAAAGCTTGTTAATTTGTTTCCACATTAAAATTCTGAAGTGCTATATTTAGTAATGGCCAGAATTAGTTAAAAAGCAGAATATTCCATACTGAGTATCAGTGCATGCCTAAGCATGACAATATGACACAGCATTTCTTGTTCTAACAGAGGACAAAATCTAGGTCACAAACACTGATCCATTCAACCCTTATCTAAAATTCAGATGAGCACCTCTTGAAGCCTTTTGCTACTGATCACATTTATGATACATGCACAGAGACTACAAAAACTCATCTCAAATGGGACGTGATTCAGCCATCAGAGGGCAGCAGCTTCCAGCTACATCCCTGACTAATTCAACCCAAAATCCTCGCCACCACGAGGCACCAGAATCTGAAGATGGTTTTGAATGACTTCTGTACCACAAAAGAAACCACGTAGGACAGATGGCAAGGTAACCCAGCATTATGCATCTTACATCCTTCTGGAGTAACTATCAGGGAAACTGATGACAGTAAACAACAATTTTTACTGAAAATAGTCAAGCTGTTTATTTATGATCACCTGTAACATCTTGGAGATGAAAACTGCTATAAAGAGCTTTCACAGAAAATCTGCTACAGTTTCTGAAGCTTTCCAAGAATTAATGAAGTGTTATCCCGATTTTGTGGATTGGACAGCTTTCTATTCTCTCACAAACACAAATATTATCAGAGGGCAATGGATTCTAAATCCTATTCTTTTGCTGCAAAATCTACTTAAATTAGGTTACTACTACTAATTTGACTACTTAAATGCCTCCACATTTCTTCACATAACATACCATTAACAATAAAGACTTTTCTCCATCTCCAAAACAAACAACTAAGACACTTTTGGATTCAATTTCTGATTTCTAAATATTCTTTTAGCTAAACTGTAGCTAGATACACTTCACCTACTAAAGCTCCCCTCCCCTTTCATTAATTAAAAGGGTAGTGCAATCCTGCTGGCTCCTTCAAACATCCCAGAAAACCTAAATAAAAGATTTCTGAAGCTCTTATTGTCTGTAATTACAGCAACTGGAAGTGTGCATGCAATTACTTGTATTCTAGAACATTTTGGAAGATAACATCCATCTTCTATTGGTACACCACGAAAACCGTAAAAAGCCCAACTGCCTCAGTATTAAACCTTGTTTTAAATAATCTCACAAAATCCGAACAGATTCAGCAATGTCCTGTTGATAATTGCAAAAATGTCATTCTAGTCGGATTGAAAAAACAACTCTAGACAGTACTTCAGCTTACAGTCTAGCACACAAGGGGAGACTGCTGCACCAAGTCAAGCAGTCATGCCCACTGTAAAGTTACACAATATTTCTGCAACTATCATCATAAATAGCTCCCAACAAATGTTCCCACATGCAAAAAAGGTTTCCACATGAGCTTAGAGACTTCTGACTGTCCTAACAATGCCACCCTTATTTAGAACAACAAGTGTTCTCCACAGTCAAGAATAAAATATTGTTCATTCTCTATTACGATTCCCACAGTGAAACCAGTTCTAGGGTTTTTATACCTGTTCATGACCAAAATACAGCACAGCTATTCAAACTCCTACTGTTTGGTTGCAAGTTTTACCATCCAATTTAAAAAAAGTCTAATTGCAACTCAGTCCTCATTATGCAAGCATGCATAATAAATGCCAGAGTGGACATGTTGCTGCCTGTACTGAGCGTTCAAACTTCATCAAACTACTTAAGTGGAGCATTTAGTGAAACAACACGTTAACAATTCCTAATTATATTTAATGGAAAACTAAAGGCAATGAGGAAACATTCAACCAGTTCTGGTAAGTGTAAGTCAAACTAATGTAACTTCTTAAAGTTTTGAAAGAACTGAAAAGTCCCTAACCCCCATATTTTGCAATCTGAGGAAAAGACATTTTCTGAACTCAGTTCTGTTGTAAGCTCTGCTCTGCCATCTATCTATACAATCAAAATATCTCCTGTGACAGCATCTCCATACTTCCTATCTAATGTAATATTGAAAGCTTCTATATTTTACTGCTACAGCTGCTTGTCTATAAGCCAGCCAGGAAGCAGCGTCCCCACACTTCTGTCAGACAGAGAAATTGCTATCAGCACAAGATTTAATATTGTCAATCATTCACACATAATTTTAAACCTTTATGAATTGGCACTGGAACTCAATATTAGAACTGGGAGATGTTTAATTTCATGAGAAGAGAAGCTTTAAGCATCAAGTTAGTTAGATTTCTACAACTTACTCTCAGGTAATGTTTTTCTCTCTCTCTTCAATTAAAGCTTGTTTAAAGTTTAAAGCTCCTTGGAATATTTGTGAAAAAAATTAAAATATTATTACAAGAATTTGTGAACAAAAATACAGAAGACAGGGAAATTTCGAGAATGGATTTTAAGAGGAAAAAGAATTCCTATGATGGATAACACCTTCTTGCTGCTAGGACACAGACATAGCTAACACCCAAAAGGGCCATTCTTATTGATTAAGCTATTCATATAGTTTAATTTATTAATGTTATGATTCAAATGTTAATAGACAAAAACCTAAATAATTTTACCAGGATACAAGTCTAAGTGCTATTTCATAGCAAAGAATTTGTTAGCCAAAAAAAAATATTTACACATTACTTACCCTCTTGTTTCCTCTTCTTGTCCTTTTCCTTTTTGTATTTTAATCCACTGTTCCAGCTGCAGCATTGAATTAGTTCTCTGCATAACTCGTTCAGACTCCATATGTGACTGAACCACACTGTGCTGACCTCCATCTCCAGCTCCTGCCAGGACAACACCAACACCTTTGCTCTCAGACCCATTTAAATGAACTGGTCTGAAGTGTCCAGCCTGAATCATGGTTATGGGTAAAGTCCTGTATTCAGATCCCAAAGGATTTATCTTTACACTGTTAATTTTTGTTAATGGTTTATCTTGCCCAACTTTCTGGAATCCGTATTTCTCAGCTTCCAAAGCTTTCTTCTCCTCATGTTTATTCACTTCTTTGTTCTTCTGGTTATTTTGTGCCTCTGGTTTAATTAGCACCCGATGGTTTGAAATATTATTTGCCTCTCGAGGTGATGTATTTTCAATGGTTAACCTCTCAACTCTGGAAAGGAATATATGACAAGCTATAATACCAATAAAACATCCCTTAAAAAAAAGTATAAAAAAAATGAAAAGTGAATAGATTGGTGTTTATCAGGGTTACTTCAGTGAACTCCTGTCCAGATCTTTTACAATATCTTGTCTCTGAGAGAAAAATCCAGAACATATTTGCACAACAGTCAAGGACAGGTTTTGTTGGTTTTGCTGTTTTAGGGGTTTGGTTTTGTTTTGGGGAAGGTGGTGGAGTCTTGTTTGTTTTAGCTGGTTTGGTTTTGGTTTGGTGGTTCTTTTTTTTTGAGAGAGAGAGAGTGTGAGTGTGTTTTTCACAGAATCACAGAACGTTAGGGGTTGGAAGGGACCTCTGGAGATCATCGAGTCCAACCCCCCTGCCAGAGCAGGACCATCTAGTCTAGGGCAGGACTCCAAGGTCCCTCTCCACAGAGCTGCTCTCCAGCAGATCTCCTCCTAACCTGTACTGGTGAATTTTATTACTCCTGCCCAGTTGCAGGACTCTGCACTTATTCTTGTTGAACCTCATGAGATTCCTTCAGTTCCTTCCATGCTTCTCTATTTGTTTGCTATTTTAAAAGCATTTACAACATGGGGTAGATTTTTTAAGCCAACTTCCAGTTAACCTCCTAGAAAAAATGTGCACAAGAGGAAATAAAGCCAGACTCTGAAAAAGTGGATGTTCAGTTCCTGGAGAGCTGGACATTCAAACAGTAAAATTACTCAGTGGCTCTCCATGACCTGCAGCTTCCAGATGTAAACAGCCTGAGACTAAGATGATTTTTAAAGTCATTGTTAAAAATGGTAGCCAATTACATTTCCGACCACCTTATGATTCACAATACTGCTGAATTTAACATATAATGGGCTCCTTTAAAGAAAGTAAGCAACTTGTCATGGTTACTGGCATCAGTTAGATTTCCTTGGTATGTTATCACTTTGGCTGGCATACATTTTGTGGAAAATAACTGTGGTTTCCCTAATTTTAAGGAGGAAAATAGCTGCTGACTTAGGGAACTCTACCACCAAAAAAAAAAAAAAAAGAAAAAAAAAAAGAAAGATATTTTTAGAACAGTTACTGCTTTACAGTACTTACATAAGTACCTAATATATTAGCTATTTTCTTCTTAAAATTTCAAAATGTCAAGCAGCTCTTTTTTCCGCACTGATACATGAACTCACATAGTGACTTACCCCCAGTTTACCAGAAAAAAAACAGTATAGAACCCCCCTAAAATGTTTTGATCAAATTTTTTTTGGTACAGGAGGGAAAAAGAGGAAAAGATATCATTCCTTAGGATTACAATTCTATAAAACCAAACCAGGAACAAAACTTTATTTTAAGATGATGTCAAATTAACCTTTCACACTTATTTGCATCTTTTTTGCAAATGCATTATTCATCTTTGTAACTGTGTCTAGTTCAAGTGCCTAACCCGTGTGTAAAAAGCCCATCATATACATAAGTAACCAAGAGCATAAGTATGACTGCTCCTCTGAAAAATACTCAATTCCATGTAGACTAACTACATACATAGCTGAAAGCATTTTTGCTTATCTCATCTTGAACAACAGGCTTAAATATCCATCACATCTACACTTCCCCAACAGGTGAATTGAGCTATGAACTCCCAACAGGACAACTATGTGGGATAGAACCCCAGAAAATACATGAAGGACTGAAAACTGTAAGGTCCACATTAAATACTACCCACTGCTAGTAATATTGGACACTTAATTTTAAATGCACTTCTAATTACCACTCTGTTCTTGCTATGAAAGCTCCATGACATGGAAGGAATCGAGAGACTCCTGCCTTGACAAGTACAGTATCTCAAACCCATCAATCAAACAGCAAGACACCAACTCACTGTATGTTAGTTAAACCAAAATGCTCATGCACTTTGCCTGTTAACAAGGGGTGTGATTTTTTCCGCATGCCTCTTCCTGACACAGCTGTGATGATCCTAATCTCTGCTTGATATTTCATCATAAATCCTCCAAAATTCACTCTGTTAATATAAGTAGCTCAAAATAGTCCTTTTATTTCAGTGATTATTTCTGAGTTCCTGACATGAAAGCATACACACACATCAAATGTATTGCAAATGAAAACATCCATACAGATAATCTAACATGAACATCTTTGGCTGTATCTGTCAGCATTATTTTTAAACACAGTGTTCTTTTTTCTCATATATGACTATCAGATGCAGTGGTTAGGTTCATCTGATGTTTTCTGCTAGCAGAAGGGAGAAGGTAAAGTTTCTGACATCCATAACTTCTAGACAAAAAAATATCTTGATGCAGAACCAGTTTCTATGTAGAATTCTGTGGGCAAGGACACGTGGTAGAACAGCTATACGCACATCATCTTTCCTAAAATTTCCAAGTATCAGCAAAGAAACACTATGCTGATCTCCTACTGCAATTTAAAAATGAAGTGTTTTCTTTTTACTCCCCCACCTCCCCCCCAAGACTCTTAACTGCTCCCAAGATCAAGCATTTCTGCCTAGGTTTCTTCTCAAGGTTATGGAAAAAATAAATGGATCATTTCCTCCTTCCCACCTCAAAACTGTACTTACTACCCAGTGTTCTACCACAAACTAAAGGAATTCCTTAAAAAGCAAAGTGAATAAAAAACTCAATTTCCAACAACTATCAAGGCAAAAATAGGTGTTAAAATTTCAGTTTTCAACCAGTGTTCAATATTTTAGAAATAAACGTAAAGGCTACCTTGCATATCATCCTAAACACAGGCATTAATATGTACAACATGCCTTAATAGTACCATTTATTCCCTTATATAGCACTTTAATCTTTCTGAGGCTGAAAGAAGAGAAAGAGTTGCCATTTTACAGATGGAAAATCTGAGGTGCAGAAGGAGAGTGGCATCTCTAAGAACATGCATCAGATATGGGGCAAAATCATGACCTGGCACAGTGCTCAATTCACACTATCATATAGCTTTCCACTGTCTCACCTAACTAAAAACCAGCAACCCCCCAAATCACAGAACTATTTTTCCATGCAGTCTCTGTGCTGTATCACCTGTTACTATGGTTATACACAGCAGAGCTAAGCATGTACATCTGATATTCTTTGCAGTAGTGTAGGAGATGAATGACACTAGACTCTCCTTTAACTTTGTGCATCAAATCAGTCAACTCAGTGTGTGCAGGAGATTTTTCCACAGCAAAGGATTCAAGTGGGGAAGAATTATCAGGAACAAAGAGGTAAATGTAAACAATATAAATCCATATTTATACTTGGCTCCATATTTACACCGAGCTCTCACAGACACTATCACCAAGACGTGCAGGGTATTTTGAGAATGGGAGAGGGGGAAGCCAGGGAATGAGCACTGAATGCATCTCTCAGCATATACTGAAGGCAATATATAGATTTCTACAACCACACAGGAATAATACATGTGGAACAACAATCCAGGAGAAGTACTATTTTCTGCTGGTTTATATAAATAAATAATTCTGAAAGGGTTGGGGAGGGGCATCTAATTAAGTTTCAGATGGATGTGAGGCCTGACTTAAAGCCAGGCAGATGCATTTGAAGAGAAAAAGTCAATCTTTTCCAAACACAGTGATGTCAGTAAACCCCCACAGTGAACGACGCTATGCTCACAAGTGGGATTTTTGCAGCTGAGCTTGTGCAGATCAGGAAAAGTAACCACTAGAAGGAGAAAAAAAATCCTTTTCTTAGTACTTGCTGCATCACTCAGAAGAAACAAAGGCTCTGGCACACACAGCTGACAGTGAAAGGATAGAAAAATGATGCTTTTAAACATGGGAGAGTAGAGAAATCTGCATTTAGGGTAAAAATGATTAATCAGTATGTTGGTGGATATTAGCATCTACAAACACAAGCAAGCAATCAGTACTCACAGAAACAACTTCACTGTTGTCTGCAGTGATACAACATGGAATGAGTAAGATGCTTTGCTAATCCAGAGAGGTTGTTTGAGATCATATTTTGAGTCATAAACTTAAATAGTTTCTCACTGACTGAAGTATTTTTGTCTCATTATTTTGATAGGCCTCTCTACATTATTAAACTTAATTTTAATACCTAGGTACAATAAAATAAAAGATGTTTAGAAAGGAGTAATTATAGTTAACTCAATAGAACCAAATAACATTTGTCCTTCCCTGCAGTTATACATCAGAAGGGAGTTTTTCTGCTGCAACTGCAGATCAGTTCTAAAAGAAATGGTTACAGTTTTATTTTCTTACCTCAGTATTTAATTTCTGTAATATGTGGCTAACTATATGTGGAAAGTAAGACTATTTTATAGAAAACTGGGCAAACCCCCCATAACAATGTTTTAAAAACTCCTTTTATATTTTTGCTTTCCAAGAAACTCACGCCCTCAGAAAAATAAAGATACAGATGGTAATTCTGAAATTATTTAAAGCCAAAATGTTCAATTTAACAGATTGTTTGGTTTGGATTTTCAGAGTATTATAAGCAGTAAAGTACCTTGACTTCTAGATTTAAAGAACTACACTGCAAAAACTCTGACATAACAATGAGCCATTTATATTAAAAAAGCATGTAAGAGTGGCTCAGTACCAGCTTGCATAAATATTTAAGGAAGTCCTTAATAACTCTAGCTATTGCATTGTAAGTATGTAGCACATTAGAAAACTGTAGGCAGTACAATATTAGAACTTCTAGAAAAAACAGAATTGAGAAACAAAGGCACTGGCTGAATCTGACTGAACCAAAACCATTTACTCTTCGACTTATGTGCATGCCAAACTTTAGGTTACTTAGAGATGAGGTAATACAATACTTAATACTTTACAGATTTTTACAGGGAAGAAATAGTATTTCTGCTGGCTAAGATCATATCCTGCTACACGGTTCATTTTAAGTACCGGTTTGATAGCCAAAAGATGGTTTCTTTAGAAGACAGATGTCTGAAGGATTTTCTTCCTTATTATAGCTAACAAACATGAAAGTCTTTGAGACTTCACTGGTCTTGAAATGTATTTTCTCTCAAATAAGTGTTTCAAGGCTACTAAGAAACATTTCAAAGAGGTCACATCTACTTCTGTTTCCTTCTCAGGTTTCTTGCCTGAATTCAAACGACAGGACAGTGTTCCATAAGCCATTTTTCTCATTGCTTTTCAGACATTTGTTTTGGCTGTTGGCAAGCTCATTCTGCCTGTGATATCCAGGCAGAAAACTACTGATTTTTACTGCTGAGTGCTTTTCTACTTGTTTAGTGTGCTGCACTGATTCACCACGGAGTAAGACAGACACCCAAAGCAATGCAGGGCAGACTGCAGGAGCACGTGCAGCTGGATGAAAAGCCAGGCTCAGCTGTACTGGGAGTCCCCCCATTTGTGTGTACACTGCCAAACGTCCCAACTAGCCAGACATCAGTGCTGGAACAGGCACTGCAGCTGAAAGAAGGGGGTAAGAGGGCAGTTTACCAAATATCTTCTGTAGAGCATTGACTATGATGGGAGAGGTGATGAAGATGACACTTATTAAGGAGGCTCTGGCAGATAGAGATACACTTTTTTCACATTATTTTTTTTTTCTACTACAAAGACGTGCTCTTCCAAACACTCAATCTTCACAGTATTGCAAATACTAAACGAAGGTCATTTTACCAGTTCAAAAAAGATTCAGAATGACCCATTTCAGTATTATTCCCCCTACAAAGTGCTCATACAATCAATACATGATTTTTGTTTGAAGTGGGCCTCATTTTGTTTCATCATTTTGCTATCTGTAAGCTATCACAGCTACCTGCGACACACTTACAATGCAAAACAACAAAACTAATTTTTCAGATGATGTTTATTATTCACTGACCTAAATGAGATATTTTGGTATTCAAGGTAACTTCAGTCTTTTAAGAGCAATCTCTTAAAAGTATTGAATGGAAAAACTAAAAGATGAAAATGCTACCAAGTATCTACTTGCTTAGGCTCATCTCAGTCTGCTCATCCCTTTCCCACAGCATCTACTGTTCCCAAACATGAGGAGGGTTACAGGAGACAAAGAACATAGCAACTTTGTATATAATATCAAATCACACATAATCAGATCAAATTTCAGTGTGGTAATTGGACCTATCACTCCTACTTTCTAGAAGTTGAAATCTTTTATTTTTAGTAATTTGGGAGAAAATACATGTCACCTCAAAGTTTGAAGCATGTGCAATTTTTTCACAGTACGGAGAACAATGTATTTTATTCTGTTATGCTTTTTCACTATGCTGCCCAGTGCAGAGAATTAAATACTTTGTATATTATCTGTATAGTTAAAGGACCTTACTGGCAAAGACTAAAGTTTCAACCTTTTGTTTAAGACCAGTCACTAAAAAGCTGCACAGGTACAAATTTAAAAGTGTTATTGTTACTCTTCTGAACAACCTGTAGACTGGCATAAGTAAAACTTCCATTTTATTTGACTGAGAAGCTCATAAAACATTAAAACATGCAACATTAGAAGCGTCCAATCATTTTTCATTCCATTTAATGCTTCTGCCAGCACCATACTGGAACATGGGATATAGAAAGGTCAGGAGCAAGTTAACAGGAAGGACTTGTACTAGCAATGCAAAATTCTGCAAACACTGTACCTCCTTTTTTGGTACCTGCATGTGTGCAATTTTTTAGTTCTTTGTTTTTTTTAATTTAAGGCTTCTCAGCACTGCTGCAGTTCTCTTAGCTCCAGTGTAGCAGGAACCAACAGAGAGCAGAATAGATCAAGTGGCAGCAGTCATCAGCAATAACTTCTGCGCCATCAATAATGAGGAGCTTTTAAATTTTCAGTTGATGAGGTTTCCATTAGAGATGCCATGGAGTCGCCCCAAGGGACCATACTCAAGCAGAAAATAATTCTTGCTGGACAGACAGCAGCAGACAGGGCTCAGTTTCAGAGAGCACAAGGCGTCTGGCGATAACTTCCTTCTCCTTGTCAGCACATAGATATATAAAGGATAAAGCTCCAGATCAGGTACATATAAATTTGATGACAGGCTAATGATGAACAATAATGGCTCCCCACAGGTTGCCCACACATATCACTGTTTAACTTAGCCAGAAACTACAGCTGTGAATTTGAGACTTTTGATAGGTTTAAGCCAAAGACTAGCACCAGTTGAGCTGCTGTTGCCTGTTGGTGAGGTGGGCCAGTGAAGTCAAACTATATTTCTATACAGTATTTGTCATTGTATTTCTTTTGATGTCACCTGCTAAGGGAATCAGTCAGGTTTTTTTTCGTTCCAGCTCATGCATGCATTACATTCAATATTCAGAACAGAACTTAAGATTATTTGGACTGCTTCAAAATTTTATCCAACATCATTAAATTAGTAAGGGGTTTTCAATATCAGGAGAAATTACTTCAGCCAGTTTACATTCTATTTTAAGGTATATCCTTTCATTCAAATAAATCAAGCTAAGTACAAGAAAGAAACACCCTGTGCCACTGTTTTGTCAATTCACACTACCTTTTCACAGGCTCTGTCTGCACAAGTGCTGCGTCTGTCATGGCTTTCATCCATAATTCCATTTCCTTCCCTGTATCTGTGCAGAAATAATAGGTCCTCATGTTTGGATGAGCTGCCTGATTGGAAATGACATGGTCATTGCAATAAAAATGTAAGGTTCTGTAAAAGAAAAAAGGCAAATAATGTTACTGTATACTCACTATAATGTTTTTGATAATAAGATTTCTGCAAATATTATCAGAAAAAACACTGTAAGGAATACTTCAATTTTTCTCTCTCACTGCGTTCATATTTTCAAACTAATTGCCTAGAATTTTCAATCATAGCTACTTCTTCATTAATACACTCAGTAAAAAACCCTTACATTTCTTCAATACATCAAAAACTATCTTGAATATCCATTAATGTAAATTAATATAATAAGTAAGATTCTGGCATGGATTTTTGCAGCCTGAATGATACAGTAAGTTTTAATTTGTACTTACCACAGTAGATAAATGATGCGTTGCTTAGGAGGCCAAAAGAAGAGCCAAAAGGAGCTCATAAAATGAAAAAAAAAGTCAAGAGAGAGTATTTAGTAGAATGATCTATATAATGATTTAAAAGATGAGCTGTGAAACACTCCAAACAAATATTCACATAATATTGTGATTTAAGTGATAAAACCTTGCTTTTATTTATATGCAAAGATAATTTATATCTAAATAACTACAGAACTTTCATTAGTGGGTAAGCTCAGATGCAGTTTACAGTTCTAAAATACCATACAATATCTAAGATACATGAACTAAGAAAAAAAAAAAGAGACTAATAATAATTAGTGATATTCATCCATTTTCTCATTCTAGTAATTTCTACTAGTCTCTACTTATATCAGGCTAAATACCTCATACTGTATTATGAAAAACCAGTCAGGGACTGAAGCTGTTTGCCAATTCTGTTTTGCACAGTAACCCAGTAAAATGAGTTTCTATCACTAGACTATTGTGCTTTCAGACATAAAATTAAACTGAAAAATTGACTTCCTTACCTTAAAGGCGTATTTGCGATTAATATGGTCCTCAGCAGAAAGCACAGATATCTGAAAACTAGGTAGAAGTATGCTACCTAGTATTCCTTCCTCCTTCTCATCTGTGAACGTACAGTCTTTGATTAGAGACACAAAATGTTTTGACACATAATACTTATATTCAGACACTTCAGTGAAACTGTATTTAGCAACACAACACCACTAGCAGGAGGTTTCCCT